AAGCAACGCGCTTCCGTTTTCTTTCACGCCAGTGGATTTTTGAAAGTCATTGATAATCATCGTCCAACATGGCCGACTCCTCTCTGCACACGAAGGAGTTCCCTTGTGAATGCTGGATCCGTGTTGCACAAAACGTGTGACTGAGATTGTCCATCACCTAATCGAGACGCGTTATACATATTTGGTTCGAATCAATTCGATCCTTCAGTGGGTGTTTAAAAGGTGACCTTGAGGCGAAATCTTCGGGAATTCTAGAAATAATAGGAGATCAACGGTTTTCAATGCGTTTGAGAACATTTCCGGCGGAAAAGGCTTTGGAGGGGTGTGTGTAAAGTCAGTGGCCATTAAGAGTCACCACTCAGGCATTTGACTAATATTGTTCACAAATTTGTACATAATTTTCTCCCGCATCGTGCCGGTTTGGGGCGAAGTAGATAACTAATTTAAATCTCTTAGTGTTGGTGAGTTCTCCGAGCAGACGTTTCGTAGGGATTGGGCTTATATATTTCTGCTCGAGGGTTTTGTTTGGCTGTTTGTGTCCCTTTTAATCCTGTTGATCAATAGCAACTGTGCTGTGATTTGATCGACTGCTTCGTTGTCAGGGTGACCATCGTTTTTCTCATTGGTCGACTGGCTTTCCTAGACCGACCGCAAACCGGTTCTAGCTTGGGCAGCCTCAGGTCTCCAGTGTTTCCTTAAATAGTGATGGGTTCCAGTTCTATATGCTTATTTATACCGTCCGTTTTCGAGTCCCAGCCAATCGAAACCCTCAAATGCAACTATAAAGCGCGATCCCACTGAGGACTGACGCTTCCCCGAGGTCGCACTGATGACGTTGCCTAGCTTGGCTACAAAACGTCTACGAACAACACTTCCCGTTCGAAAAACTCACCAACATCCGCATCCCGAGCTACATTTATTCCACATCATTTATAATTTAAATTTTCCTGGCGCTCTTTTTTACCGGTAAACTCCTCTTTACGATGAATTAATTTTGCGAACTATTGACTCTTTATGAATAAATTCAATAGTCAAAGATGATAACCAAGTACCGCTCAGTGTTTGATCATTGAGACCGATCTTGATCTAGCCTGAATCTCCTACAATAATTTTGCTTTCGTGTCCGAGAAGACCATCACGGAGGACGGACGTACCCGAGATATGCGGGCGCACAATCTATCCAAACCACTCACTTTTTACCGGTTGTGTCATGATTTCATAAAGTAGAAGCTAATGCAAAGACCCTTGTGTTTGTGACTAGTTTGCTGACGCTCAGAGCAAATCAACTCAACGTTCACCGGTTTTCTGTTTTAAAGTAATGTGCTGACATGTTCCGAAACAGCCAACGGAAAGCCTTGAAACAGTTCAGGTTGAAAACCTGCATAAGGACCCCCCCTCTCTCTATCACTGCTCGTTGAACACACCCAACTCGTTTTACTCACTGTTTGTTTCTCATCCGCGCTATGTCGGTGTCCAGAGCTCCCGCAGTTACATCATCGTTCAAAAAGCCTGAAGCCGAGCGCTGCTGCATGGTACCCGACTGGAAAAGAGCCTTTTTCAATATGGGGTGATTTGCGGAATACCAGCAGTCGGTCGGACTTGCGATTTATTGTTCTCCTTGATATAATTCAGCTGGCCTGCGTCAAACTATCAAGTCTACATATACACTATAGGGCTCAGTGCATATTCATTCAGCAGATTTCATGGTTCTCGCTGAAGAATTCAACCAGCAATTTTTATTGGCTGAGAATAAACCAATAATAAGCCTGAACAGGTCCTAAACAATCCGAACCTACAGAGCGTTAGACATGCGGTAGACCTGTTTAACGCGTTACACATGTACACACGTATGTTTTCCGGGTAAGCTTCATCACTCGATGTTCATCGGTTTTGCAGCCCTGCACATCAATCTAGGTTATCGGTGACACTGAACTGTCTAGCGTCGCCAATCGTCTCGGTTTACTGTTAGGCACGCTGAATCCTCTTTGCCTATCCCCCAATGTGAATTTTGAAACCAGAGCTTACGCCTCACAGACAATAATCAGCGTGGAACTTCGGTTCAAAGATTGCCGAAGGTCCTATCTCATAGAAAATTGAACCAAATTAATTTTTTTAAGAACGAATCTCATGGAAACTTTGTAAAAGTTGGGAAAAATAAAGCTTTTCTCAACAATGCACTGCGTTCCAGAAATTGATGGAACCAAAATTCACCGGTCGATTATGACCTTGATAAATGATTAATTCATTTTGACGTGAATGGGTTATATATCCGTTGGTATTTGTATTTGCGTCAGTTCCTCCTAGTTTAAAATATCAATTGAAGAAATCTAACAATCTGCGTGATGCAACTAACTAGTCGAGAAATAGGATGATACCAAATTATATGGGTCGTTTAACTTTCTATTTGATTGTTAAGTTTCTAACCTCCTGTAGTTGATGCTCGCGCAACAATTTAAATTACACAACTAGGAGGGCTGAGCAGAAAGTTTCCGCATGCACAAAATATTTTATTTATTGAACAAAAACAAGCATTACATTATCTCGAAGTATTCTCCACCAAGGCTCATGCACGGTTGCACGCACTCAAACCATTTAGTGAAGCAACTCGATTACGCCGAAGCGGGTAACCCTTCGACCTGTTCAATAAAAGACCCGGTTGCAGCTGTCGGTGACTATAGTTTCGGAGTCCACGCATCATGCACTTGACATTTGGGAACACAGTTCTTCTTGAAGGTGCATCAGCCTCAAAGGCAGTTCGTAAACGATCAACGCAGTTGCTGCTTTAGTTACAGAATATGATCACCCTCTAGTGACGTCGGTTGAGTTCCATCCTACAGTTCGAGTATATAGCTACCCTCGTATGACTTATGATGTGTGCTCGGCTGTGTTGATATTTGGTTCTGTGTGAGTTGCCATCACTGAACAATATTCTTTATTGATTAGAGTTAACGTTTTCTTTGCCTGGTCATCTGCACTTCGTACTCGTCGTGTACACTGCGTATCCGGAATGTTTTTGCTCGACCCGTGTATTAGAATCATGAGCTAAACTCATAACAAAGCTCGCTGCCACCACGGAAAATAGCAGGACAATATTTTAGGAATTTTTTTCCATCGTGTGATAAGGAGTGACAACCTTCATTACGCGTATGTTCCGAAGCAGACAAACCACAGGGACGGGAAGCGACATCGTGAATAGGGTGGTCGTTGTACGGGAGACGTGGCACCAGGCCAACGAGGTTTAGTGATGTTGGGAGAGTTTGGACCTTACCGTTTCCTGTGAAGCAGGTCAGGGACAATGTGGTGTACAGATTGTGCAACATCACTTTTATATAGTCACTTTTATCTGCCTATTGGTTTCTTCTTTTTGAAACTGGTGAGCTAAGTCCTCCGCAGAAAAATCATCCAATTACCACGATTGTACTGATTCACCAGTGTGCGTATCTGGTCGGGTTCGAAACAGGGACCAAAAGGTGTTCTCGCCGACCATAATCTCATGTGAAGTTATGAAAACCCAACTTATTAGTGAACTTCGCCGCATGTTTCAATTTCAATTCACTGACTATGATTACTAATTAATGTTTAGCGATTTTAGTCACAGGAGTCGAGCGTCGCTGACACTGGTACTCGAAAATCGGTTCAATTACTCCACACATTTCACATACCCTATGTTGCTCGTTTTGCGCTAATCTTCCACCTATTAATTGGATGAATTTCCATAAAATGGCAATTAAGACGGAACTGCGAATGCACAAAATGTGAACAGTTTCACACGGGCAGACTTGTTAGCACTGAGGTGCGGCTGAAACTTTTACATTATCCAGATGGTTTCCCATGTTTGTTTCCCATGTTCAAAAGCCGCCGCCACCGGTTGAGATTGAATGTGGAGCGTTTTCTTTTCTGTTTACGCGGAATTTTTGTGATACTCACCATCGGTCAGTGCAAGTTGTGTTTTATCATTCCCCTTCGACCCCAGATATGTGGTGAATTCTGTGGAATCAAATTTCTCCCTTACTAGATGTGAGACCCTTGGGCAAGACAATAAACACGGCTTGTTACCCATGCAAATCGGATGAGCTAGCACAAGCACAATATTTCAAACGGCGGTAATCGTGGACCATGTAGCTGAACAGCATGATTTACGATCCCAAAACCGACGGGTCACCAGCTCGCACTGGTGATGAATCGTAACAAGGATGCAGCAGTTTCTCAGTGGTTGATGTTGTTAGACAACACAAAACGTTTAGGTGACCTCCATATTATTTCTAATTTGCATTAATATTTTCCGTTTTCTGATTAGGATTTTGAGAACAATCTGAATCAATTTCATGAGAAAATAGCACCAGAAATTTAATCCAACCATGCACTTGGAAGCATTGGACTTGAGTTTCGCTCTTATTAGAGCTCATTGGTGGTGCATATCCGCCGTCCCACTGTCCGGGATTTGAACTCCAGACTCACTTATTGTTATCTGTGCTTCCCTTCGTCGCTGTCGAGCCAAATGAACTGACTGACTATCACTGAAGAAGACATCTGAACAAACGTGAATTGGTAATTCGGTTCATGCCTGGCATGAACTGGTTAGCACAGCAGGAACACGCCTTCCATGCGATGGGTCCAGAGTTCAAACCCCGGGTGGGCCAGTGAATATGCACTACTGATGAGCTCCAGAAAGAACGAAACTCCGGTCTAGTGCTTCCCAGTGTATGGTTGACCATATAAACTGAGGATTGTGCCTGGGTGGTGAAGTCCGAAAAACGCTCAGTTCAAGTCCCATAGCACTATACACAAGTAACTGCTAGTTAAATGAGGAATATAGTCACGGGTATGTGGTAGAAAATAGAAAACCAAAGAAGTAATTGCTGTTTAGCTTTATTTGTTGATTTTTTTTCAAATAAAAGAAACAATCGTTTATTATTAAGGCCGTTCGTTGCATCGGTGCATTTTTGTAGTAATCGGTCGAAACCACCGGGTTTTCCAGTTAGATAGGATACCAATCGAGTCTATAGCTCGTCTCGTGGCATCTGTTCCAAATGTCGGCCATAGTCTGTTGCCTGACTTCCAACCCATAGCTCATGTTGTTTCAAGATTTCATCCTTCGAAAGCTTCCCATCTTTGTTCTGGTCCGTTTCCATGAGCAAATGTTCCGCTTCACTTGTGGCCGTTCTCCGAAAACCTGTATGAGCCATGGAATTCAGATTTACACAACAGTATAACTAATAGACACGAGGACAAAAATTTCCATCAATGGAATTCAAACTTAACTATGTTTGGCGGGATTTCAAAATTCATCGCATAACTGTGAGCGAAGACAAATGTCATTTTACTCAGTTAGGATATCGGCTGAGGGCAAGAATCAACGTAAACTAAATGTTCTATCGGTCCTCCAGCGGTTGGAACCGAATGTCGTCCTCCAACTATTCGAGTACACAATGTTAAAGCCGAAAGAATGGGAATCAGTGGAGCAAAAGAAACATTTAGAAAGTCGTTCAAAGCGGGAGTTTGACGATTGATGTCCTTATTTAATACAGACGTAGTACAAAAGGTTACTAACCGATGGGTGGGTTGTTTGCCCGAAACGGTTACCACGCAGTTTCTGAATTGGAACTAAAAAACGCCAATGATGATTGTGGTGGTTTTATGAGCTAATGGTGACAGAGGTTTCAGTGTGCTAAACAGTGTATTCTGAAGGGATACAATAAATATTAAAGGAGAGGGTTAGCTTATTGTGTCGTTGTGCCAGTCTCAGATGTGGAAAAACTTTCATAGTCCACTTTTACAATCCATATTGGAGCTCATCACCTACACTGTTCTTCTGATCGGACGTTACTGATCAAGTTGCTTTAGTTGTTTCGCAGTTGATACTCCAGTACTAGCAAGGAGCCGTTTGTTCTATTTGAATTTGATTGTGCGTTTCCATTGTGATGGAAACGATCGAAAAACGAAAGTAGAGCAACAAAATTTTACGAGATGATCGTGTTACTCATTCAGCGATAGGCAATTCTGTGATCTGCATCACAGTGCTAAGTTCGTGATCTGTTCATCTACATATCAATCAATCAATCAATCTGTCTGTTTGTCCGTTTGTCTGTCTGTCTGTCTAGGATTGATTTCATCATGAAACCCGAAGCAGGATTCTCAAGGGACAGATCAGC